GATCAATCCCTTTGTGGGATGCGGCACGCATTCTACTTCCATTCAGAATCGTAGTGGCTTATTGAATGCGATGTGGCCTATACAATGACTTGCGGTGGCCAGCCGATGTACAAGTCAGTGTTTTATCCTCCCAGACGAATCTGGTACCAATTTACCGTCCCCGGAGGGTAGAAGGCTTGGTTGGCCTGGGCGGGAGTCGACCTGGGATTCGAACCCAGGACCGCGCGAGTGGTAAGCGCGCCACTTGTCACTACACCACCTTCGCCTGATTCATACCTATTCTTATTCGGATCGGTGCTTTCTATGATGAACATTCGATCATGACGAGTATTGACTACGAAAACGCCAAAACGGCCCTCACACTCACCTTGATGACGTACATGTGCGGTAGAGGGTGAATTTTAGTGGACTTGCTTGTATCGGTGTCGATTTTCTGGATGCATGCCAACGTGTTTTCTCCAGCGATGTTCATGGCACATGATCCGCAGATTCCTGAATTATCATAATGATTTTAGAAATTAAAGGCAGTGGGCACCATCGCCATGGAGCGGGTGGTTGGCCAACCTCATTGGTGGAAGGGATGAATAGGTGCCAAGCGCCCTCTCGCACCCCCTCCACCAATGACGTTGGCAACATTCGCCCGCCTCCAGCAATACTGTCCACTACATTTGAAGAGTGAAAGCTGAGGAAAGTTAAATTTTCACTGAGAGGCTTGCTTGGAACGCTATTAAAATCGGGCACAAATTAATCACTTGCCTTAATCGAAGAATCTGGAAGAATCTGTAAGGATACTCGCTTAAATCCATCCACTAACCCGGGGGTATTTGAAAGACCAAAAAGTGTAGTATAGGTGTCTACCGGCACTCAAAACTCTCTGACTCGCTCAAAACCTTGACTCGTTTCTTCCCCAAGAACGCTAGCAACCGGAGCCGATCAATTTCTATGCCATCCTTTGCATTCAAAATGCTGACGCGCTCAAAACTTTAATTCTCCCAAAACACCAGGTCAATATCTGTAATTTTCTTTGCGCTTAGAACGCCTCAAAACGCTTACTCGCCTGAAAAGCCGAGCCGCAAAGTAGGAACGAATTCGGCCCGAGTTGCTGAGGGTGACTGGTAAACTAGCAACTTTAACGAGTTTGCACCGAGTCGAAAGGCGAGTTGTAACTAAGTCAGGGACTACACTACAGAAAACCCTCGAGGATACGGCTTCTAGGAAAACCAACCGCAAATTCGTTACAATAAAAAAACATTAAAGAGAGTGGTATGTTTCCATTTAGCATAAATATGACCTCGCAAAACTCTGAGTATTTAATGGCTAAGCATGAACGTCCCATCTAAAGTAATCCGAATGCTCGTAGCTCGGCAGGAATTGAACCGTGAAAGATGAAAATAAGCAAAAGATGCTCATCAAATCATATGGAACAAATAATTGAGAGCAAAGATAATAAGAAGTGGGCAGAGCTCAGTCACCAGAACACAAGAAATGCAAACTATAGCAAAGGTGAAAATAGACTGAGGAAAGTGGACAAAAGGGTATACTGGTGCAATTCATTTCAGCTCATCGTGGATAGTGCACGGATTCAAAGTCACCGTGAATACAGCCGAGACCTGCTAATGCAATAAAATCCACTTTAAAACAAACAAATAGGATGATTCAGTTAGGTAATATTTTGCGCAATATTCCGTGTCCAGCATCCTGATGGAGAAATCTGTGTTTCTCACGAACTTTTTCAATCTGTCTGCACTTTCGAACCAGAACAAGAACCGCCTCCCAGAAGGCAAAAAGGCCCATCTCTTTTGACAAAAGCCTTCCGATCTCAAGTGGCCGAGAACTCTCTAGTTTGACTGTGGCAAATACATGAAACGAAACACAGGGACGAATCGTTAGTAACTAGGAGCTAACTTTCTGAGGGGAATGAACCCTGTCCTTTCCTTGTGCCCATATGGTGTAGAAGCTCAGAGGGAGCTAGAAGAGTAGAACCAGCACTGCCCATAACAGACTGAAAGAGACACGTGCAAAAAATTCATTGAATGCAGCATACACTCGCATAGGGCGATAAAGAAACAAGGCTACGATTTCTCGCTATATTCTATTCCAGTCTAAGTCTTATCCAAAAGGTGACGAAAAGTGTGTGACAAGAATGGTTACCTTCGCGGCAACTCCTTCTGAAGGTCAAAGTGGGATCCTGCTCTTCCTTGATCTTTATGAGGGCATCCAAGACCATTGAACCGCAATCATCCAAGTCAACATCGTATTTCTGAAATCGTTCAAGTTTATAAGCTTTCGAAGGAAAGACAGGTCAACACTGTTGTAATGGTACTGCAATGTAAAAATCACATTCATGGCGGCTACAGATGGTTTGGGGGAGAAGGAAGGGGTGGCCATAGAAGGCGCAGCTCCCCCCCCCAACCCTGGGCATTATTCAGAGCCTACGATCGTGACGAACAGGTGAACCGAACAGAAGAAATAAATGCGTACTGAATGGGAGTATCTTCGACCTCTATCATAAAACGCCAAAAGAACTAGATACGTATCGATTTCGATGCTTCGCCCAAACGGAGACTGGGAAGCGGGCGGAGCTGGCCGTTTCGCTCGCTCGTTTTGCTGGTTCTCCCGACCGATTTGAATCTAGAGTCCTCGCTGTGGACGCTGAGTGTCAGGGAGGCTGGTTCTAACGGGGCCACCCAGTTTACCGCCAACTGAAGAAGGTTGCCAGTTCCCACGTGTGAAAGTAAAAGAGCTGACCGCGCTAAAGCCGGTCATGCTCAGCCAGACCATCCGCAGCGAAAAAATGTAACCGAGCGAGCGTCCCTCGATTCTCAATATTCACACGCATCGAGACCCTTTTGCGGATGTGCTCCTTTCGCCGATACAGCAGCTTCGTAGACTAGGAACAATGGCTTGGACGTCACTGATGCAATGTACCCGCATAATATTTAGAGCGGCCGGCAGAGGTCAAATCCTGGATCGAGTCCCGCCTAAACCAGCCGAGCCTTACATCCCTCTTTGGTTGCTATATTAAAGGCAATGGGTACGATGGCTAGAGGTGGGCGGTAGTTGCTAGCGTCACTGGTGGAAGGACTGCCAGAAGGCATTTGGTCACACCCCAGTCAGCCCATCCACCAATGGCGCTGGCGATAACCGCCCGTCCCTAGCAATCGTGCCCAGCTAACTTTAGAAACGCGGAAGCACTAATTTCGATATCGACTAACCCCGCAATTCATTACTTCAAATCGCTACGATTGGGGATGGCAGTAAAGGGCGTGGCGTCCGCAAAAAGCACTGATCACTGCTAGATACCATATGCTGGCTGTGAGTTGTGGTGGCGAAATTCGTCTCTGCCCTCCACTTCTTCGAGTCGACCTGTCGTGAGGCTCAGGTGGTGTTCTAGGGACAAGAGGACGGAGCTGAGCCCAATCTTATCAGCGGCGTAAATTCCCCATCGCCACGTAGGGTCTTGCGTTTGCAGATATTTCCTAATCACGCTCCACCCTTACTTCTAAATAGAGGAGATCCCATATGAGACCAAAACGTCCCACTCCCTAAGTCTCCGAGCTTCGAGTCTTCTTATGCTTCAAGCTGAATTTATCGCCTTCGCAGAGAACGCAAGGAACTGTACAAATTCTCAGACCTTCAGCTGCGGCTTGGTTCCTGGCGTGTCGGGATTCCAGCGGTAGATTTCGAAGGTCTTGACTCTTTTTCCAGTCGGCTTTGACGTTGACAATGCAGCACGACTAGCATACAAGATCGTATCAGCGCAGCCCAAAGATAGTGAACGAGCCAACATTCCTGGAAAGCACAAAATTAATTATAAGATGAAAAAGTTGGTGACTTCTTTTAGATTT